TGCGCAGATTGAAACCGGAAGGTGTTTGGCCCATCATATTGATGAATTTCCACCTTTCGTGAGGATTCACTGATTTGTGACCTTAAGTATTACCCAGGGTCGGCGTTCATTGTGCGGCGACACCTGGGGGATACAGGTAGGCATTGCGCCAGGTAAAATAACGTGTTCTCCGACACTAACTAATTGAGGTTAACCCGCCAGGTGATTACACGACCCCTCGGGGTCAGATGAAGTGACCCTGAGTGTCAGCCCCTAGCCCCGTTCAGCGGGTGGATGAGCGTGATTGTGTAACAAACGTCGGCGGTAGTTAGCTATATAAGCGCTGACACGACCCCCGCGGATTCAAGCCCGACCCACGGGATTTCATACGACACCCCGGGAGAATTCGAGCCGGATCTGTGTCAGAAGGATGGGGAATGTAATTCGACGTTAATACAATTGTAGATATCTCCACGGTGATTTAATAGCGAGAGCAAGAATTGTAGACAGAGTAAAGCATTGACATTTTCTCCTGGGGTCAATCAGTTGTTCCTTATTTGTGCTAAGATCGTGTGTGCAGGGGATGGTCACTATCTAACAGAGTTCAGCTATTCAATCTCCAAATATTTGTGTACATCCTGTAATATGATATTATTTGGTATCGAAACATTAAACTTCCGTAAATGTCGTCTCGTACTCGCATGTTCAACGTTTTTTAATATTAACCTGTATCTACATTACACACACACACACACATGCACGCACACGCGCACATCACCAGCTCTACGGTAGTCAGTGTATATACACTAGACGCCAAAAGAAACGTTACCCTCCTACCTTTATGAATTACTGAAAAACTGTCAAAGATATTTTAGAAGGTTTCAGTTTACAAGAAAGCTTAACAACACAGCTTTATTAAAATCACGAAAGAAATTTCTCAAATGCATTCATATTTGGGTGAAATGCATCTTTTTTCAGAAGAGTTAAATTGGCCTATATTCGTCCATGCCGAAATAAACCAATAATAGTGATTTTGATGTCCAAAAGAAAGGTTGAAATAAAATTCTGCTTTGGGACAAAGATAAACCATTTAAAGTCACCATGTTTCAACTACTATAACAAGAAACAACTGTTGTAGAGTGTGTAAAATTGTAAAATAATCATTGCTATGATTTCAGTCTTTTAAAACATTTTCTGCTGATTCGCATTAGTGAAAACAAGTAAAACGTGTCTTTGATATTGTGAAAATCTTTTTAGGAACATCTACAATTATCTTTGTTAACATGTTTGCTTGCAAAGTAACATTTTTCCATTTTCATTTTACGCATAGCAATGTCAACTGCCAAAACGCAGCAATATTCAAACAGTATTTGCCTCCATTTCACATGCAGAATGATTCTATAGAGTATAGTGAGAGCCTAGAAGAAATGATCTGGTACACAAGTTCGAGAAATACTCCACGATTAACAGCTGAAGGGAGAGAGAAAGAGCCATTGGGATGGTGCAGATGGGGTCGACATACAATGATGTTGCCAACGCTCACGGATGCCACCGTATCACGGTTATAAAACTTATTCAGGGCTTCAGACAGACTGGCATAACCGTAGACAGACCAAGAAGTGGACGTCCACGCATCACAACGCCAGCTGAAGATAGGTACCTCCTTCATTAAGGAAGGAGGGTAATGTTTCTTTTGGCGTTTAGTGTATGTTAGCGTCAATAAGGAAACTCCTCCAGTAGCGGTACTGACTAAAACGACTAGACAGTAAGTGTACTGACTGAATTATATTTTCATTTTCCGCTTATTGCCTAAGTCAGTAGTGTTACTGACTGCAATATTACCAAAATATTTAGATTATAGACATGTTTGACAAGTCTGCAACGGTTGGTCTTTCTTCAGAAGCTTCCAATACCAACAGAAGTTCTGAAGTTACTGGAGACAGAAGACTTGCAGAAGGCTTTAGATACAGGCAGTGAATCCAGGTCAGTGTCAGATGGTGTTGACGCAGACATAGATGGTGATGCTGGTGTGGATGCTGATACAGATACGGGTACAGATTGAGATATGGACACAGATAATGTTACCGGTACAGATTGTGATACTGATATTGATAACAAATTATGTATGGAATGTGGAAGTTCTCTGCCAGATTTGGCAAGTTCTAATATGTGTCAGGTATGTCTGGCATCCAACAGGCAGGTTGTAACAAGAGTGAGTGAGTGAGTTTAGTTTTTTACGTCGCACTCAGCAATATTCCAGCTATATGGCGGCGGTCTGTAAATAATCGAGTCTGGACCAGGCAACCCAGTGATCAACAACATGAGCACCGATCTACACAATTGGGAACCGATCCCATGTGTCAACCAAGTCAGCCAGCCTGACCACCTGATCCCGTTAGTCGCCTCTTACGACAAGCATGGGTTACTGGAGGCCAATATTCTAACCCGGACCCTCACGGGTGGTTGAAACAAGAAGTACTGTTAGAGGATGTAATATCAAAACAGGCTGGACAAATGACAAAGCGTAGCAAGTTACTGTTAGGGTTACCACAAGCTGTAGATATGTACATTAACATTCCAGAGTTCGATCGAGGCGAGGGGGACATGAGAAAGTTGACTGGGTACATGCTAGACGGAAACGATGACGATGCATGTAGTATTGCCACTAGACATGGTCAGTTGGAAGGACGATACCAGACAAATCAGTTTGGTATTGCCAAACAACGACTTCTTAGTTAACCTGATGTGTCAACTGTGAGGAAAGTCATTGTTTGGTGGTCAGGGCATGCAGAAATGCAATTGTACACCAAGTGCAAAATGTGAAACTTTGAGATGTAAGTGCAAACGAAATGGGAGAAATTGAAAAAAGGTTAATAACATCAATTTTTATTTTCATTGTTTGGAAATAGCCTACCAGGGCGTATAATTCGTGATAAGTTCATGCGATACTCGCCGGGAAGAACTTGGTGTTCTCACAGCTGATGACACGGACCGGGCCAGAGACGGGAGGAGACACAAAGGAAACGATGGTCATCATTAGCTGTTGTCATGGACAGTTTCAGTAAATGTCAATGGATATTCAGTTATACAACTTTGTACATGTGATCTTATTCTTGTGTATTTGACATGTATGAAACATGTTACAGATATGTATGTTACTGAACGGGTATTTAAGGAGCGGATATTTTAAGTTGGACAACTTGTCTCCAACCCGTTTCACATTTGTGAAAACGAGGTACAGGGGCCGCGGGGTAGCCTAGTGGTTAAAGCTTTAACTCGCCACGCCAAAGACCCGGGTTCGATTCCCCACATGGGTATAATGTGTGAAGGACATTTCTGGTGGTCCCCTCCGTGATAGTGCTGGAATATTTCTAAATGCGGCGCAAAACTCTACTCTCACTCACTCACTCACTCGCTGCCAGACAACTAACCAAACTCAACATGTTGTACCCTAGAGCACGCCCTTTGTGCCCCTGTTGAAGACGGGGTACATTATATTATAAGCTCTCCTGTTTCCTATGATCAACGACATATTACATATTAATGTTTTTAATAAAATGTGTAACAGTTCGGATAATTTAACTGATTCACAAACATATGCTTTCATTATTACCACCTATGTCATATTTCTGAAATATTCAACATGTTACATAATATGTAAATCGAGGTACGATGACGCGTAATGAACTAAGTGACCAAGTCTGACCACCATTTTGCCCCCTCCAAGTAGGTAAAGCTAAGAACCTAAGTCAAACCAAGGCCTTCACGGGGTCCCTCAATTCAAAAGTTGCAATTTGAGAAATTCCGAGTTGCAACCTTATCCACGCCGAAGATTTGACGCCAATGCCAGCGCATCGTAAACTGTTAGGTGTCAGAGGTCAATTATGTTATAGTCCCGGCAACCCTGGTTATCAGCCCCTGTCCTCGAGCTCGGGTACATTTCCTCAATAATTAGACACACAAGGTTCAACAACAGCCTTGCCGGAATGTTGGACGTTTTTATAGTGATTTTGTAGCTGGGTAGTTTACTTTGGCTCTTGTTTAATTCTCCCTGACACCCGAGACCCCGGTGGCCCTTTCAGGTAAGTTCAGGTAATTGTTGCACAGGTGAGCACAGGTAAGTAGACTTGCTCCGGAGATTCTTTCTAAAACCGTATAAGTTAAAGTAGAGATAGGAACTACGTGTGGGTGTAAGTGTGGGTGTGTATTTGTCTGTGTGCGTGTGCGTGCAAGCGCGCGTGCGTGTGAATGGGTATCTGCGTGTGCGTGTGACTATCTGATTTGTACTAAACTCCTAATGCCAGTCTCATAGTTCTATAATGTTATCCCACGGAGTTGCCACACTACAGTTGAACAAAGATACCTCCCCGACAGACCATACTGACTGGGAGCCGGCCAGCCCTTGTTTTATCCCTAGTAATGTCAGGCGCCAGGCGGGGTAATAAGATGTTCGGTGCTCGTTACCAGTGTCCGTCTAGACGTAGTCATTACAGTCCAGTGGGAACGTGAGTCTTATACTGATGGACGTATGTCAGGACACAACAAAGTGGTGTGAGAACGACTTCAGGAACCTCGGGTGTCCAGATTAACAGTCTGACGATGACATTTCCAGAATCATTTATTATGTAACTATTAGTAAATCCACAATTGCATTGTCGATACACTTATTTCTGTGGTTTAGTGTGTATTTTCAATCATTGCTAAATGTTACGTATGATCATTCTATGTCTGGTCGGAGTTACTGGTGTTATCAGAACTTAGTATCCCATCCTGGATAGAAAGCGGTGAACATTTCACCTGTGGAGACTTGCACCAAGTCTGGTCTCCGGGTCGCCCTGTCTGTGTGGGGTCGGAGTGTTGGATGACTTTACACCTGGGATCGATCTAACTTCAGTTTCATCTACAGTTTTATGGTGCCACAAATCCCGAGGCTGATGGTTAAGAAGACCACGAGGGCTGACTGCACCCTTTAATCTGAAACAATGCGCTCCCACATGCTCTGGCTTGATCTTCTTCAGTCATTAAACAGGTGCGAGATGGGGAACTCGGGGTAGGGCATCACTGCCCATGGATGGTGCTGGGGAGTTAGGAGGGAGGGTAACAGGTGCGAGATGGGGAACTCGGGGTAGGGCATCACTGCCCATGGATGGTGCTGGGGAGTTAGGATGGAGGGTAACAGGTGCGAGATGGGGAACTCGGGGTAGGGCATCACTGCCCATGGATGGTACTGAGGAGTTAGGAGGGAGGGTAACAGGTGCGAGATGGGGAACTCGGGGTAGGGCATCACTGCCCAGGGATGGTGCTGGGGAGTTAGGAGGGAGGGTAACAGGTGCGAGATGGGGAACTCGGGGTAGGGGCATCACTGCCCATGGATGGTGCTGGGGAGTTAGGAGGGAGGTCACAGGTGCGAGATGGGGAACTCGGGGTAGGGCATCACTGCCCAGGGATGGTGCTGGGGAGTTAGGAGGGAGGGTAACAGGTGCAAGATGGGGAACTCGGGGTAGGGCATCACTGCCCAGGGATGGTGCTGAGGAGTTAGGAGGGAGGGTAACAGGTGCAAGATGGGGAACTCGGGGTAGGGCATCACTGCCCATGGATGGTGCTGGGGAGTTAGGAGGGAGGGTAACAGGTGCAAGATGGGGAACTCGGGGTAGGGCATCACTGCCCATGGATGGTGCTGGGGAGTTAGGAGGGAGGGTAACAGGTGCGAGATGGGGAACTCGGGGTAGGGCATCACTGCCCAGGGATGGTGCTGGGGAGTTAGGAGGGAGGGTAACAGGTGCGAGATGGGGAACTCGGGGTAGGGCATCACTGCCCATGGATGGTGCTGGGGAGTTAGGAGGGAGGGTAACAGGTGCGAGATGGGGAACTCGGGGTTGGGCATCACTGTCCAGGGATGGTGCTGGGGAGTTAGGAGGGAGGGTAACAGGTGCGAGATGGGGATCTCGGGGTAGGGCATCACTGCCCATGGATGGTGCTGAGAAGTTAGGAGGGAGGGTAACAGGTGCCAGATGGGGAACTCGGGGTAGGGCATCACTACCTCGGGATATTGCTGAGGGGCTGGGATGGAGATGTCGGGTAAGCTGAACAATAAGCGTCACGGTAGTGTCTTAAGAAAATGGTAAGTTCCCTTGAAAGCAGCAGACACAAATACTTAGCCGTTAGATATGAGATGTTATCAGCATCCACGACATAGACACACGAATACTTGAGTCCAACTTCAGGGGGCGGTGACAAGAAGTAACTTAGGGCAACTCGAAACATTGGCGTGAACATCATGAAACATGTTTAAATGGCTGAAAGTTTTTCTTCTTTTCCTAATTTGTGCAAATCTCGTGGGCCGTAAAGAGAATTAATCAAACTCTGCCGATCACGAAGTTCCACTTCAGTTTGGACCAATCAACAGGCCATATTAAATCATCCGCTGTGTCTTAAATTCAAAACAGTTCAAATAACACCGCGGTTATACACTGATCAGATGAACAATGTAAGATATAATGTATTAACATATGGGCAATTCGTATGACTTTTTTCGTTGATTAAATTTGAAAAGAGTGAGTGAGTGAGTACTGCTGTACGCCACTTTTAACAATATTCCAGCAATATCACGGCGTGGGACACCAGAAATGGGCTTCATACATTGTACCCATGTGGGCAATCGAACCCGGGTCTTCGGCGTGACGAGCGAACGCTTTAACCACTAGGCAACCCCACCCCCCAAAAGTTGAAAAGAAATAATGCATAAATTAGAATAAATACTAAACGGATATTTGTAATGCTCAAAGAACCTACCCCGTTATTACCCCGATTAACAGGTTTGCATGCTCTTCACTCAGCTCCCGGGGTCACATACAGCCTGTGAGGCGTTAGTAGAACAGTCTTTTAGCCATCTCATCCGGGTACCCATCCAGTGCTGGTGGAGGCTTATTTCACTTGCCCACGTGAAACACCACGTTTGCTGAGGTGCGAGGCAGGGTCAACATTCTACAACCCCAGGGGCCAAGATGCCCAACATGGCACCCAGGGAATCTCCATGGCCAATGTTGCACCGACACCCGGTTTGCGACCAGTACGCTTTGTAGAGTACCACGTGCCAGCGATGCTGTAACAATAATTGACAAGAACCACACAGCAAGTGTTGCTCAAGTGTGGCTTAAACCAATATATACCAGTTATTGGACGTCCAAATACATATACTAGGCACATGAAGAAACTGTGCATACAAAAATTTAAAATCTAAATTTATGAAACCTGTGTAGCCCCATAAGGATTTAAACTCAGAGATTAGTGACATGTATCCAACGTGCATGCACGTGCCACGTTCCGTGACCGCAGTGGGTTCGTCCTTGAGACGTGCAATACGTTGTTGCACGTGCATTCCGGGAAAGAGAAACAGAGCAAATGAATGCCACACAATACTGTCACTTTGGAAAGCTCAACCCCTGCCCTTGCGATCGTTCAAAGAATTAAACGGCTATTGAAACGCATAGCATGCCAAAGCTCTCGTCTGCACAACGTCATGAGGCCATTGGGATGGTCCGTGGGGGAATGTCTCAACGACAAGTGGCTGCACATTTCCACTGCCACCGGAACACCATTTCTGCACTGGTGAGTCGCTACCAGAACACAAATGACGTCATCGATCAGCCACGTTCTGGACGTCCACGTGTAACAACGTCAAGACAGGACAGATGGATAAGGGTGACCCATCTTCGCCACAGATTTCAGACTGCAGTGATGACTGCCCGAACCATCCCAGGACTTCGCCGTATCCACCCCAACACAGTTCGACAACGTTTACGTCATCACGGGATCAGACCACGACGTCACACCATACAGTCTATCCTGACACAACGCCATCGACAAGCTAGACGAATGTGGTACCGAAATCATGTCCGCAGACCCTTGTTATGGTGGGGAAATGTTGTTTTTACAGATGAGTCCAGGTTTAACATTTCCCATAATGATGGACGTCAACGTGCCTATAGACGCGTGGGAGAACGTGATGCACAGGCCTGTGTCTTGGAGAGGAATTGCTTTGGTGGTGATTCCGTGATGATTTGGGGTGGAATAACAGCAGGCTAAAGAACTCCTTTGGTGATTGTTCAGGGCAACTTAACTGGTGTGGGCTACAGGGATCAGATTCTTCGACCTGTGGCAATTCCTTTTCTGCAACGTCATGGCCCTGGGTTAACATTCCAACAGGACAATGCCCGCCCTCATACGGCAAGGGTTGCTATGGCTTTCTTGCAACACCACAACGTTGACTTACTGCCTTGGCCTGCAAATTCACCGGATCTCTCCCCGATAGAGCATGTTTGGGACGAGATGGATCGACGTCTACGCCGTCTTCCTCATCCGCCAGATAACGTCCTTGACCTTGCAACAGAACTTGAGAGAATCTGGCGTGACATCCCACAAGCCTTCCATGCACGTTTGATAGGCTCTATGCGTCGGCGATGCACTGCTGTTCTCAATGCCGATGGTGGACATACCCGTTATTGAGCTTGTGACATGGTCGTTGACCCCTGTCCCGCTTGTGGACTCGTGACGTCATTGTGATTGACTTTTCAATTGAAATTCTCCCGACTTGTTATGGTCTCATGATCCCTCCATTAAAGTTTATATGTACCTTTGACATTGTTATCGTACTGATCAACTCGGATAATATTTTGACAATGCACAGTTTCTTTATGTGGCTAGTATAGCTATCACAGAATTATAAATTCTTGAGGTAGCGGTACGATACTGCAGGGTTTGATTAAACATTCGTAAAATGAACCGAAAATTCTAAGGGCGTTGTTACCGTGACTTCATACTTGACCAATTACAAGTAAAAACAAAACAACTTGCTTCAGCCGAGAACCTGACAAGACAGGAAATAACTGCGATGTTTAACAATTTTCAGTCTCCAGACACAGAACATTAAATCAACGATGTTTCCTGAATGCCAAACTACATTTTGACAAGCGAGTTCTGTTCGTTTGATACCACATCTCACGGATTTTCCCTCCACTGGAGCGGCGAGACGCCATTGTTTTGGGGAAAGGCTGCAAACATCCCGCACACGTGACAAAATCAGGAATGATGTTTTCTACAAGAAGATCTGTCCGATTGGATTCAAACACGTTCTACCTCGCGCGTGGAACGTTAATCACGTGTATCTGACAACCTGGGCCCAAATAAGGAATAACGGCGTGGACCAGTCAGCTGTAGAACAGTAGCGAGGGGGCACTGGGCTGGGCCTCTACAATTATATATTGTTCTCTGGACAGGCATAATGAAAGAACGTGTTCGGAACATCATTATGCTCAACTACTTTTAATTGGTCCCTGAGTGAGTGAGTGAGTGAGTATAGATTTTAGCACTTTTAGCAATATTCTAGCAAAATCACCAGAAATGGGCTTCACACATGATACCCATGTGGTTAATCGAACCCGGGTCTTCGGCGTGACGGCAAACGCTTTAACCACATGGCTACACCATCGCCCCGATTGGTCACTGAAAGTCAGAGGAGACGTTGGAGGTGAAACATCGCTGCCGGGAAACAACAGTGGAACATATTTGAATTAATAGTAATATCAGTAATAACAATACGTAAACTATTAATAACAATAATGATAATAATAATGACGACAATAATAATAGTGATGGATGATGACGATGACGATGACGATGACGATGATGATGATGATGATGGTGATGGTGATGATGATGATAAGCGTCTACCCTCAATACAGATTATGGAATTATGTGTATACATGTTATCGTTTAGGGTCATTGATGTGTATGATTACAACACCTGTGAAAAACTTTTCAAATCATTGGTAGACCCTGTATATTCAATCATGCAAAAAACACCAATGTTAGGGCTGTTCGTTTTACGGCATTCGAAAGGTGATTCTTGCAACGTTGTTGAACGGGGTCGAGTGAGACTATGAGTGAGTGAGGAGGAATTAACGCCGCTTTCAGTTACCTGACGGTGTGTCTTAGAAATGTCTGAAGTGGTCCAGGTCCAAGACGTGTACCACTTTGGTGAAGACCACGAGGATGGTCTGGTATTCACAAACCTAAAAAGGGATTTGGGTAGAATATAGGATCTGATCCCACGATCATAAGATTCTAGCCCCTCCAAGGGATGCAACTCTGCAAATATGATTGCGTCATCTTACACGACGAATGAAAATAACAAAGTATTTTTGTGAGGCAGTAACATTGTATCCAAACTATTATATAGTGATTATTAGACTTACTTGAGCTGACTGACACGATTTTTTTACATCACATGGGAGAGTCAGTCTCATCATTATGCTTGAATGCAAACATTTAGGAACTCGGCCGATTCCCATAAACTGCTCGTTTAACGACACATGGTATCTGAGGTGTTAACGTCACACCGCAGCTGTCTGCTCAAACACATTCATAGTTTAACAGATGCACTGCACATTACAGCAGCATAATGTCCCCCTAGCTTCAACACCTAAGAAAACACCTCAGACAAGCAGTTGAAAAGATCCAACATCAAAAACAAAATTGTGATATGATTACACAAAAGTTTGAATAGAATAAAAATATAACGATAAAATAAAATAAAAACACACCAAGAAAACAAAAAAACAACAACCAGAAACAAACAACCGAACTCTGTCTCTATGGCTCACTGTTTCAATGGTATTGTCAAAGCTGAAGAGAAGAGGCATTGTTTCACCGGTTCCTTTGGCAACAATGGTTTCACAAATTACATCATAGGGTATTGTGACGTGTTTGGAATCTGTCTGGTTCAGGGCCTACTTCTATGAAGCGATCCAAGCGCTACGACTATAGCAAGTCATTTATTGTGTTCTATGTTAAAAGGTCAAGGCTTATGGAGTCGTTACGTTTCAGATCAAAACATGTACGGAACACTTGCAGAATTTCTGCAATGAAAACTGATTTTCCTAATATTGTTGTAGTCCTCATTGTAACCTGC